ACACTTTCATTTTCAATAAAAATGGAAAGTTGACAGCAACGTAATGACCCCATTACCAAATTTTTGACTCCACACAAACAAACTAATCTGATTACATTATTTGCAAAATAAGTGTGAACAGTCCTAAAGATCGGATTTGAAAAAGAAATGAGAATTGAGGTTCAACGTGCACAGCCTAAGACACAAGACAAAAAGAACATTCATTTCTTTCTTCTAATATATACTTGCTAATAATTCTATAATTCATAATGTTGTAATTTCGAGTGCAATTCCATTTTAATGCATCACTAAGGCATTACAATGACTTCGCCAAGCAGTCTTGTTTGTTTTATTCGTTTATAAAAGTTAAGCAAGAGCTTTGCTCGTGACCTGGCACGGGATAACAGAACGGTCCCAGTTATAAAGGGAATCTGGGGAACAGATGCGTTCGGATTTGGCAGAGCACTGGATCATGCACTTTTGACTGACTCCACTGCACTGTTCAGCACGCTGAGAAAATTCACTGAATGCTTCCTCCGCATTGTTTGGCTACGCTTCCCAAGTGTGACCCAATAACGACGAGCATAGATCAGAGGGAATACCTGCTCTGCGACACTACAATATAGTTCATTTCTTTGTTTTTTCTCCGTTCAGGGCTTCATTCTGCCACATCTGCAGGCAGCACTAACTTTCTGCTGAACAGGCCATGTCTAATTACGTCCTCTTTAAGTGGGGCTGTTTCTTTTTAGGTTTCAGATATTTTTTTCTTGGTTCCATAGAATAGGTCCCATTGTCATGCTGTCAAGACAGAGTAATGTAACTTTACTTCAGTGTACTTAACCGCACCATATGAAAAGGTTTATAAAGTTATCAAGAGGTACAAAGTCAAGGGGGTTTGGCCTTAATAAAAGCCGCAAATGAAAGGATATGAATGCGTTATCTATGATTTCCTTGCAATGGGGCATGTATGCATTCCTCTATGTTTACATAGCATTCCTCTGCAATGTACAATACTGCAGTTAAGACCAGTGGAAACTCAACTGGTGGGTAAAGACCCAGAAATGGAAGATCAAGAAGCATAAACAATCAGAAAAAAAGGTTTTAAAAAATGCAAACAATAAAAAAATTTTTTATTACTTTTGCTTATTTTGCTTTGCTAACTATGCACCATTATTTAGTCAAATAAAATAAAATAAAATTAAATTAAATTAAATTAAAAATAATAACATTAAAAATAAAATGAATAAAGAACAAAATAAACAAATAAATAAATAATGGTAGTAAAAAATAAAAATAATAAAATAATAAAATAAATAAAAAGTAAGATACATTAAAATAAAATGAAATGAAATTATAAATTTAAATAAAATAAAAATAAAATAAATAAAATAATAAACAAAGCAACAAATAAATTAATTAATTAATTCAAAAAGAAAAAATACAAATAAGTAAAAGAAAAACAAAACAAAATAATATTATGCGGTTATGCGGCTCCCCTTTTATGGAACTCACTTCCTGTAGAAGTTCGCAATAGTTCAAGTCTTCCGGTCTTTAAATCTCGTCTTAAAACTTATTTGTTTAGGCAGGCTTTTATGTGATTTTATGTCTGTTTGTTGTATTGGCTTTTATTGTTTAATGTTATTGTTATAATCTGTTTTATGGACTTTGTAAGGTGTCCTTGAATGCCATGAAAGGCGCCTATAAATAAAATGCATAATAATAATAATAAAATAAATAAATAAAAATGTGAACAATAAATACATTTAAAATACATAAAAAATACATTCAAAATGAAAAAATATATAAGTAAAAAAAACAATACCTAAAATACATTAATAAAAATAAATAAAAATATAAAAAATGAAATTAAGAAATAATACAATAAAATTATAAATGTAAATTTAAATTTTTTTATTTTTTTTATTTTATAAAATAATGCAAGCCAATTAAACACTCCATATATCTTTTGTTTACTTTTCATTTTGGTACTGTGTTAGATGTCAACTCCCATTTAAAGAAAAAGCAAAACTATTTGAGAACCACTAATTTAAAAGACATTTTTTCCTTTTTTGCGGGTGTAAATGGAAAACGACTTCATACCTCCAAATGTTTGCAGCAGAAAAATGAATCTAGCCTCTCCATAATGACCATTTGAGCACAGAGGCATCTGTTTTCACGCGTATATAAAGCTAAGTGGGTCAAACACTGTTAATCCTGACGGCGACACAGCAAACTTTACTATGAGATCATGTGCCCCGCTCCGCCGCTTTGAAGCTCTGACTGCGCCTCACTGCTTTGATCGAAATATTGCTTCATTGTGTAAATTCACTTAGGAGGAAACAATTAAAACAATAAGAAGAAAAAAACGGAGCAGATTGCATTTCCCTTCTATTATTAAGTGATGCTATGAGAAAGATCAATCAAAGGCTTTTACAGATTCCCTTGCTTTACTTTTGGATTTACACTCGCCTCCTTTTTATTACCCTTTAAGGGTCTTTCAGAAGTAGAGTGAAGGGTTGTAGACGCCGAAGCCCCTGAACCAGAGTCATGCTGAGCCCGTCTCACTCCGCTGATTCAGGGTCAGCTCAAGAATTCCCCAGGTCACCGCAGATTTGTA